GGAAGGCATACTCATTCCAGCTGGGATTGTATGCCCGTTTAGATCAAATCATGATTGTGTGTAGTAATTATCTACTCCCACTGAGGTATCCAACAGGGAAAACTGCTTATTAGGATCCTAAAGAAAAGGTCACAGACTTTAAAAAGAATGAACTGGAGACATAAAACAGGCATCAGCATGTACAAATATGGTTACACTTGAAAGCAGATCAGATTGAGACGGGTCTGTTGTACGCTCAAATGCCTTTGATTGCTTACAGGACACCCTGAAAACAAAGCAATCCAGAGATCTTAAAGGCAGCTTTGAAGCAGCAAATGAGATTCTCTCATTTCATTTTCAGGAAGTCAATGCTGAACTTCTAAGAAACTTAAAAAAAATAAAAGCAAGTACTAACAACTCAGTGCAAGAAATCCTTAGAAGACCAGAGGGAGGAAATGGGAGGAGGGAGATCCCAAAAAATCATCAGCAACAAAAAACACCCTGCTGCAGGACCCCATTAGATCTCAGTATGGAAAACTACCCTCCTTGACATCAAAGACATCTATATCACAGATCAAACACCAGCTTTCCTCAGCAATACCAAACACCTGCCAGATATTTGATGCAAAAGTGTATCTGTGAAGACCCTCATCAAATCATTGAATATGAAACTTATCCTCGATCAAGCTCCCTTGAATTAACAATCTATCGTGGCTGCCAAATACCACTACCTAATGCTGGTAACCTGCTGCAAACTGAGAATTCATTTTTCATATACTAGAAAAGCAGAAGTTTCCCTGAATGAATTCAACCTCCTCCTGTCTATAAATACACTTGCGGTACATGTACACGATGATAAAGCACGCAGAAAGCTTACTGTCAGCCCACCTACAGGGAATACACGTTCTGCGTAACATCGCTTCGGGTAAGCAGCAAGTTCAGTAAAGGTGAGAGTGGGCAGAAGGTACAACACACACGTTGCCCTTCATTAAAAGGTGCAGAGGTCAGGAGCAAAGTTCCTGCTAAAGAGGAAGCTCTAGGCATTATCCAACACAAGGTGGGATGAGGAAGCACAATTAGCCAGAGAACAGACAGACGAGCTTGCAGGAAACTACACCCAGCCCAGCACAAACAAGCTATTTAGTGCTGGGCTACAGCCAGCTGACCCAACTCAGCCGTTCTGCAGATTTGTGAAACCAGAGCTGTGCCGGAGGCTGGAAATTCAGACCCACCCTGCAGGTCACCCTGTGTCTATCTCTCCTGCCAGACTTAGCAAGGCTTTCAACCACTGGTCTGCATATGTACACAAGTGGGTATGCATTTGGTAATTACATCAAAGGGATGGAGGGAACAGTATGTTTCCTCAGCTGGTTAGAAAGTTAGAGATCTTTACAAGATGACACAAACAGTGTGGTCATAGCCTGCTGTTTGCAAACGGCCAACTCTTTCCATGTAAACAAATACTCACCTGGCCACAGAATCACTAAGATGCACACTTTGCACAGCAGGCATTGCAGCTAGATTAAATTCAGTGTCATTGAAGATATTTATACTGCATCAGAAAGGGAGGAGATATGCAGAGGATCCTGCCCAACATGGCATTTCTCCGCGTTGCTCTCTAACAGCGGTATTAGCATGGTGACGTTCTCTCTTCGTGCAGAAGGTGCTGATTTTTCACAAAGCATTTTCCCTAGTAGATCTGTAAATCACTTCGAGTGCAGTCTCAGTGCAGTGCCACAATAGAGCCACTACCAGCAGGTATCTTGAAACAATAGGGTGGGGTGGGAAGTGATTTGATGTTAAAGCTCTATCCCAGTTTCATGCAAGTGCCCTTGCAGTGAAATTTTATGAAAGCAAAACCACTACTAAAGGTGCATTTCCTCAATTTTGTAGTTCAAATCTTTCCTGGAAAGATTCAAAGTTCTCCCAATCAATAGCAAGCTCCTTTAAAAAAAAAAAAAAAAAAGACAAAAACTTAGAAATTTGATATTGCTACATGCTATTTGACACTAGACATATCCAAGGCTTATAAGAAAGTATTATCAAGAAAAAAAAATCTCTTATTTTAGTGTGCATTAACACTCATCTCATTTTATGATAACTAGTCCTTACCCTGTTTCGTTCAGCAAACAACTACAAAGAGTCAAAATCCCAGAGTCATGGCTTAACTCTGGGTAAGTGCACCACTTAAGCTCTTCTGACCCATGAGCTGTTAACACCATGATGGCCACTTGATGGGAAAAATCAGTCTCTTGGCTCACAGTGCCTACAAAAACTCCCATTATTATAAGCAAGAAAGCTGGCCATCTCTTTTTAATCCAGAAGACAAGGAGGACATAAAATTAACAGTAAGTAGAGCTTCAAGATAGTTACAGAAAAATAAAACTGGTAAGGTTTTCTTTACTGAGAATAGAAAGCCTGTTCCAAGAAAGCTTTGAAGGGCTCAAGCTTCCTGGGAAATTCCACTTCGGTGCAATTAAGTCTATTTTAAGGAAACATTTCTCAGTGCAACAGCTCACTGAGTAAAGTATTTTAAGGAGTTAATAGTCATAGAAATTCACACACGAAATTTATACCATTAGAAAATGGCTACTTAATCCTGCTTCAAAAGCAAGGATGGAAATTGGGTTTAAAGTTCTTACTTGACCAGCTGGAAAGCCTGTTTTGTTAAGTTTATAAGGAGTGCTTGAAAGATTTACCGAACACAGTAACACAGTGCTGCTTCCATGGTCACATGCACTGGAATTTAAAGGGCTTGGAAAGGCAGTCTCCATTTATTATGAACTGCACTAATACTTTTGCAAGTGTAATTTATTCCCTGGTCTGCCCTCACCATATGCTCTTCTAAGCTTCACCATTCCCTTCTCCTTTCTACAAGAAGCCATGTCACACACCTTCCTCTGTGTGAAGTTTAAAAAACTAAAGTTTAAAAAACAAACAAACAAGGCTCTTTAAACCCAGGTAGGGAAGAACCCCTGTACTCATATCAAAGACCAAATTACTGCTTTTTCTTTCTTTCTCAGCATGGCAATGCCAGTAAGCAGCTGCAAGCGCTGTATGTGGACATCCACAATTCAGAGGAAATTAGGATGCCTGGTAGAGCTTGACACCCTTACCATTGCTAAGTTTCCACTGTGCCCTGTCTAATGAAGCCCTCCAATTATTCCTGGATAAATGTATGTTTACAAGGCTGTACACAGAACAGAAAGCATAGAAACTCACTGGTTTATTTCAGAGACCACAAAAATGGGAGATTCTCAGGCTAGCATCTCCAAAATACCAGGGGGACACATTCGGAACCAGCTTCTTGTTTCCAAAGGCTGAACTATCAGATTAAAATACACCGAATACTTTCCCAAACATTTCTCCCAGGGAAAAGCTTGTAGCTACCACTGAGATATTCTGCAGCTGCAAATAAGGAGCTGAGCGAAAGGAGATTTGATCTGCAACAAATGAAAGCATTGCAGAAATCCTAAAGCAAAAGACGGGTAACTTCAGATCTACAGCTTACAAACATATCTAAAATGACCCTCTGAAGGATGGCTACAGCTAGTGAGCACCTGCCATCAGCAGTGAGAAACAGCAAACCATTGCCAAGTTGTAGTCTAAAAGCCAAAGAACATGGTCAGAGATGAAGAAAAGCCCATGATGGTTCACCAAAGAAACACACTATACAAGGCTTTAACCTCACATAAAGGGAGATGAGAGCCTTGCGACTTATTAAAACCAGCTTTGCATTTACTAGGGTGCAGCACTACAAGAAATTGTTCCTGTTGTGGGAGCAGTTGTACATCAAACTCCTGCAGGGATTCTCCACAGTCTTGTAAGACCTGAACTCCATGCAACAGTCCCCTCACTGAGCGTATAAACCAAATTTCCCACTCTTCTCCACAGGCACCTCCTTCTATAAACTTGCTGAAGGTTAGCATCTTTAATACCTTGGCTGACATTTTTCAGCAGGTCCAAAAGCTGTTGGAGGTTGTTTTCACAAACAAAAGCTTTTTCATCCAAGTTCTAGATCTGGTTATTCTGAATTACTGGACTGTTTCCAGGTGTTCTGTTTTATTTTAAGATGAAAGTGGTTACCATTTAAAATGGACTATTAGGTGTTAATCAAGGTAGGTCAGGCCACCAGCCAGGGTGAAACACGCTTTAATTCTGCTTCCACTGCAGAGATCAGCAATCTCCTATTTATAGAAAACATGAAAGTGACTGCAATCCTCTTCTTGCCAAAGAAGCAATTCAGAGACATTGTTTACCCCAAACAGTTGCAATGATAAAAGGACAAGAGCCTTAACAGCCATGCCAGTGTTACACAACTACTACTGGTAAATCCCAGCACTCTCCCAGTTCACAATCACCAGCAGAAGCCACTCCACTTTCAGGAAGACAAGCCCTTTGGCTGCTTGCACTAATCACAACACATTCTCAAGACTCATCTACAATGGAGGTGGCCCACAGCAGTGCAAGAGCAAGATACCAACGCTCCAGGGATTGAGTGTTCCATCTGACTTGGGCAACGGCCGGGCTTTTGCTTACATTCAGCACTGCTCCTGTCCAAGACGAAGGTAGAAAATAGCTAAAACGAAGCTCTGCAACAATCTGCTTCTCTCAGAGAAGAACTGTTCTGTTTCACTTTAGGATTGTCTTTCTTGTCTCTTTACTATTGTGCATTTCTGAAAACACAAGTA